TGGTTGAATAATCTAGAGATATTATGTCTATATTTATTTTAATCCCGGAAAAAAGTTTTTTTTGTGATGGATTCTGTTCTTTAGGACTTCATTGAACGAAATTTGTTATCTTAGCGCTACGACGCATGTGCACGAACGAGTGGTCGTGGGAATTTTAAATTTAAAGTTTTTTCTCACATTGTTCTTGACATATAAATATATATATATATCTTTCATATGTGTGTGGGTGCGATGTACATGCACTTATTTTATTGTGAGGCTTGGATATATATATATATATATATATATATATATATATATATATATATATATATGGAGAGAGAGAAAGAGATATGTAATTAAATACTCATATAATACAATTACTCATTGCACAGTCTCGTGCATCATTGGAGCGCACATATTTGAGCAAATATAGACGCATTTTCTTTTATGCATTGTCTTTATATTATTTAAATTAAGTGTAAGCGTACACACGCAGAATCATATATGCAGAGATAAATAAACAAATGTATACCTTTCCTAGCAGAAGGCCTAGCAATTGATTCAGTCTAATCTTTCTACATCATGTCAGCGGAAACATTAGCCCGAGAAGGTGCAACGAGTCACTCTACTGAATGTTAGCTTTATTTTTTATTTATACTACAACATCCAAGTTTAAATTACTCGTTGCCTAATTTCATGTATATGTTTCTGCATTTACCACTTAGTGTATTCATATTTCATTTTCGTTGTCAGATTTCATGCCCTATCGTCTGTAACAGTGCTTAAAAATTGCAGTCTCTCTGGTGGTAAATGATAATTTATTCCGCAGAAATTCAGGTTCGGCTCATTATAATTTTCCCCATTGTTATTCGGATCTGTTAATTCTTGATACCGCGGGAGATTTTTTTTATCTGTGTGTTTATAAATTCTATTAATCATCTTTGAATAGCAGTGATGAGATATTTTGTCAATACATTTGGTGAGGATACAAAACGCAGAAATGTGGATTTATAACTTTTCTAGTAGTATTCATGCCGACCTTTCAAATCATCCAGCACCACCGGGAGACTCCCAATTTTGAGATCTTTTTTTCCGGTTCGTAACTAATGTTCTTCTGGTTAACGGTTAAAGTGTTGCTCGAGTCAGCTAGTTTCTTACAAGATTCACCTCGTAAATAAACAGTTGCGCTTTCCCGAATAAAAGGGCTGCCAAGTAAAAATATTTCCTTTCCAATCCACATGAAAACTGTTTATGATTGCGGATATAACATTTTTTCGATAACAGGTTTATCGAATTGGTGTTCGTTTAAAAGTGAAACATTAGTCTGAAAAGGGTTAATGCTGGTCTAAAGTTGCGTCTCCATTCGGAATAACAGATTTGAAATCGAAGAATGAGATTTTAGATTAAACGTTTTGGGGCTATTTTTGAAATCCTTGTTTCCACCCCACTTTTTTTCAATACTTTCACCCCCACGCAAGGGAATAAAGTCACTACGACGCAAGGGGTTACCGAGTGTTAGAGAATATGAGAAAAAACTACTTTTTGGTAAATTCTCTCTGTATTCATAAAATTAGAGATCTAAATCACCAGGTTTTTTGTTTGTTTGTTTTTTTTTATACTTTCACCCCCAAGCAAGGCAATAAAGTCACTACGACGCAAGGGGTTACCGAGTGTTAGAGAATATGAGAAAAAACTACTTTTTGGTAAATTCTCTCTGTATTCATGAAATTAGAGATCTAAATCACCAGGTTTTTTGTTTGTTTGTTTTTTTAATACTTTCACCCCCAAGCAAGGCAATAAAGTCACTACGACGCAAGGGGTTACCGAGTGTTAGAGAATATGAGAAAAAACTACTTTTTGGTAAATTCTCTCTGTATTCATGAAATTAGAGATCTAAATCATCAGGTTATAAGATTTTTAGCTTGATAGGTGCCTGAATGCTAAGTGAACGTAAACTGCTTCCACTGATGACCGAAACCGGTATTTTTTGTTTCCCTTTTCTGTGTTCATAATCGTTACGTTACCTCTTACTTCTACCTAATGAAAACATATACGTTTGCTTATTCCGGTTTCTTTAGAATTTGTCACCGATTGAACAAGGGTCGAATTCAGAGATGACAAAACCTGATATTAATATGGAAATTAAAAAAAAAAGCCCAAACTAAAACAAAATGTTTCTTCGCTTGATATCTTTTGTAGCATTGAATATATTGCAGCTTTAACAAGAGTAAACGTTTACGTTGGCTGTTAAAATGAAGGAGGAAAACAATGTAGCAACAATTTGAAAGGTTGGATGACGTCCATAGCTCGAAACTTGCTTTTGGATTCGTATCTGAAACATTCTCTTTAATGTTTACCTGCAAAATATTGGTACTCAAGTTCAGCCTTGACCTCAGGTGGAACTCATATATAAGATTCATCGCTAAAGATGCTGAAAATTGGTCGGTTCCTTGAACTGCAACAGAATCTAACTCCTCCTGCTATGCTCTATTTTTACAAGAGTCAAATCCGACCGAAAATGAGGATTGGCTACCATATCTGGGCTGAAGCTGCTCAAACATTACTTTTCAGCCTAGACAAAAACCCGTCCTAGGTATGATGATAAACTACATCCGCGTCCTGGGTAAGACGATAAACTACATCCAACAGCAAGGCTTCTGATCAGGAAGATTTTAATAGCGTGGAACCACCTTTTAATTGCTGGTGTTCCCAGGTCAACCCTGACTCGGGATGGTAGCTCCTGTTAGGGTCCCAGCTATGGGCAAATAGTTAACCCCCAAACTGGGGTCAAAACACTATGAAAGTGTGAAAATAGGTTTTAATACCAGCAATACATTTTTTAAGAAAAAATATTACCAACAATACATTTTTGAAAAAAAAAACATTACCGTCAATACATTATTACCAGCAATGCATTAAAAAAATATTTCCAGCAATACATTTTGGAAAAAAAAAATATATTACCAGCAATACGTTTTTGAAACAAAAATAAAAAATATTACCAGCAATAAAAATTTTGTCGCCATTAAATAACCCATTGAGGTTGATATGGCGTAAAACAAAACAAAACAAATCAAGCCAAACCAGACAACATACAAAATTGCTTGCGCGGCCGTGTGGATAATGGATAATTTTTAACACTACACCGCCTTTTTGCCACGTGCGAAACGTCGCAAACTTATTGCTACACTATCGCTATTTTCATGGCAGATGTTCAAACGAGCTACAGTCTTCAGTTCAGCTAAGACCTGTCATGACCTCTACACTGGGACGAATCATCCCCTATTCCCTTCGGATTCCATTGTTAAGACGGAAATTCCACTCAGACAGCTTCTTTCTGGGAACCGTTACTTTGAGGAACAGACTTCTGAGAGGATGCTTCTCCTATCACTACAATCTTAACTGCTTCAATTCTATAATATCAGATAATAATATGATTCTCTGGAATTCTGATCTTAATCGATTAGCGGTGTTAGCACCTGTTTTGTCTTAGTGAATTAAGATGGATTACAGTAAATACCCAGTTCAATACAAAAGAACTGTGTATCACTTACCTGACCATAACCAGTTGCGCATGTTCTCTTGGTGTTGTTCATAAGTGGAAGTAATGGGGGAGTACTGTGGCCGGGTGTCAAGTGAGTCGGCCTTTTTGTTTTTTGTTTTTTGGTTTTTTTTGGTTTTTTTTTTTTTTGGTTTTTTTTTTTTAAGGACTGGCTTCAAAGCCAACTGCAAGGCTATATGGTGCTTTTATCAAAACCTATCACAATATCATGCACATTTAGCTGTGATAAATGTGCTTAGCATACCCTTATCAGAACGGGTGCCATGATGGGCGTATTTGGCTTCAAATATATGTACCACTGCTCTTTTAGCCAATAATAATAATAATGTCTTTTAAAACTTCTAACAATGACAAGAGTTCTCTTAAGAATTTCAAAAGTTATAGAGTGTGAGAATGACGATTGAAGTCTCTGAGGCAGAAGGGATAATCTACAACTCTCTTTAGAGATGACTAAAGTTAAAATCAATCATATAAAAATGGATGCACCAAAGAGATAAACCTTCAGAGAGAGCCCTTCTTGTGATTTGGTTTAGGGGCGTTAATTTTAATTTTAAATCAAATTCAACTGTTGATCTTAATGTCTAAAATGCATAAACAACTAATATTTAAGGATACTATGAGGAGGTACGGAAAGGTTCTCGATCCACCTCACGTCCCTAAATCAGACCAAATATGAGAAATTATTTTTTTAAAAAGATTCTTTCTCGAGTTGAGAACTTTTCAGCACTTCTTTGTATTTTCTTTTATGTAACTATAAGTGTATGGCCTCATTCCTTCAGCTAAGATGATTAAATATAGTCTGTTGACATGATAATTTTTCTTAACTTCCACGAATTGGCTTTAATGCTGTAGCGAAAAGCGAAGAGAAATTTAAGTTTACATGATTTTAAGAAATAAAGGAAAAAAAGAAACAAAGAACAAAGACTAAAAACAAGCGATAATGAAAAAGGAAGAAACAAACAAGCAAAGAAAACCCAATAACAAGACAAGAGAAACACAAAGAAAGAAAGAAAGAATGAAAGAAAGAAAGAAAGAATGAAAGAAAGTCATCGTGAGTTGAAAAGCATCCATTTCCACTCTCAGGTATTCAGGTTAGAAATTGGTGCATTTGTATCTGACAAGCGCCATTCAATTTCCAGCTGTGACAAGTTCATATGCTTACGTCGGGATCTTAACGCCATTTTTAGTGACATAATTCACAACTGCTTCTTGCGCCACTCGAAAATATTTAATGGCATTCCTGACCTTCCGGGAATGTGTTCAGCCGTCCACACGCCTCCATAAGACTCAGGTATATAAGCGTGATTAGAAATGAGTAGAAAAAGAGTGAAAGATACAGAAAATTCTATGAAAATAAAGAAGATATAAGTTAAAAAGAGAAAAAAAAAACATTACAGAAATTAAAGAGACAAAGCATAGAAAAACAAATGAAACAAGGAAAAAATAAAAATAAAACGAATGAAAGAAAAACGAATGAATGAAATAAAGAAAAAGACACATTTAAAATGAAAGAAAAAGAGAGATGTCACTTGAAAAATAAAAGAAAAATGACAGAAAGAAAAAAGAATGAAAATCGAGGAAAAATAAACGGAAAACAAATTACGGAAAGGAAGACAAAGAGAGATAAAGAAATAAAGAAACTTATACAAAAGATAGATAAATTAAATTAAAAAGATTATTTAAAGAAAGAAAGAAAAAATTAGACAAACGAAACAATTAACGTGAGAAAAACAGGAATTACAGTTAGAAGGAAAAATTATAGACCAAAAATAAAAATAAAGACAAAAGAAAGAAAAAAACGAAACAAACAAAATATATAAAAAAATTAAAACATTAATTGATAGAATAGCATATGAATCATAATATAAAGATAACATCATCTTTTTTCATTAAAACACTTCCAAACAAGTATTAGTACAATTTTTTTTAACATACAATGTGTGTTAGCACGTGCGATATCCTGTCTTCATCAGCCGCCGACCAGGGGTGATCTCACGGTTTCGGTGGCTATGGCGGGACCGCCACCCCAGGCGCCACCAGCAGCGTTTACCACCAGGCAGGATATGAAGAAAAGCTAATTGATGGTTCTTCTTTGTAAATTCTCAATGAAATAAATAAAACGATTGTTCCTCTTTGCAGCTTCTGTCCGTAATGAAAGTTCCTGAACGCGTTTGCCGTTATTGACGCGCTCGTAAAAATCGTTATAAACGGCTATGCAAATATTTCACCTGCGCATTTTAGGTCGTGATGATGCGCGCATAATATTTCAGTAATGTTTGTTCTTATCGTAACTTTCCTTTCTAGATTTGTCGTCGATTTGGTCGTTTTTCCTCTTTTTTATCTTTCTTTTCCATTATTGGTCCAAACCACTTAAAGCAAACGTCGTATATTATTCTACAAAAGGAACTGATCTGTTGCCCTATGTGACCCTTAAGATTGTTATTAAGGATAAAAGAAAGCTCTTTGTCAAGATTTGTCCAAACAGTCTTCTGGTTACCTTTGGGCCACTGTATTCTTGGTTTACTTAGGATTTCTCCAGGGTGCTGTCACTCAACGATGGAATCCTGAACGCTGTGGGTGTATTCCAGATTCATAATCCCATCACTCGATTTACATTCTCCGACAGGAGAATTACGTTGTTTGCACCAGCGGGCCTTATGGATACGTAAACCGCGTAACCCGTTAAATCTTCTGCCGCAATCATAAGTTGTAGCCGGGCCCATATCCAGGTCGTTTCCATTAAAATCAGTCTGATGGGTGATATATTCTCCCTCCTCGCTACAGTCAACCAGAGGGCATTCTGCGTCTCTTGTATTCTTCATCCTTTAATGTAAATTCATGTCTTTCCAAGATGTCACTCCAACTTTCCGAAGAGTCATCTTGCTTTCCAGAGAGTCTTGGTAATCAATTTTTAACATAAAACGTGTGTTAGCACATGCGATACCCTGTCTTCATCAACCGCCGACCAGGGGTGATCTCACGGTTTCGGTGGCTATGGTTTCTAAATTAGATTCATATCTATCTGGTGTCAGTTTAAACAGACACTATTTTTTCTCACATATAATGACCATTTTTCTTAAAGTTCATATTTTCTTGGTTTCAAATGAAAACCTGGAAAATTTTCAACATATTTCAGTGAAATTTTCATTTACTGTTTATAATCATAGTTTAGATATATGGAAAAAAATTAAATTGTCACATAGGAAGCAAATGTGTAACTACCGACACCGAGGTTCAAGCATGACACCTGGACTTATGAATATATGTTTTCCACCAGGTGTATAAATAACAGTGTCAGGCTACTGACTGCAGTGATTATTGGAGTGATTATTGAGCGTAACTATCCAGTCGAATTAGTGTGCGTCGATGATTTGGGTTTTGATTAAGGATTTACCGGACGTTAAGCCGAGCCGCGCTATTAACAAGGTATTCACTGAAATGGTTAATTTTCTTTAGTTGACTTTTACTTCTTTGTTCTTGTTAAGTAATTATTTGCGGTTGTAATTAAATACTGTTTTATTTAACATTGAAGTCTTGAGTTATACTTAATTATTAACGGCCACCGTACGTCACAAAAAATAGAATTCAGGATCATAATATTAAATCCTATCGTAAACGTATGGTATTTGTTTTTAGATAGAAGCATTTTAATGTTTCAAGTAAAAACGCGAGTTTTGAAAAAAATTCAGATGACAAATATATAAATACTACGAAGCTTTGCTCAATACAGCATAACCTCAAAAGAAGACATCAGTTTTAAACTAACGCCAGGAGGACATGGATGAAAGAAAAATACTAATTTAATTTTGCACCCCCCCCACACCAAAAAAAGGGTCGAGAACAAAAATGCAACTCAGTTCATATGTAAATACGTATGACATGAGTTGCAAAACGTTTAGGAAATTCAACTATGAAAAAAAGAACTTGCTCTAAGAATAGTTTTCACAATCTTCCTTCGAAAAAGTCTCCTCAACAAAGATCTTACAAAAAATATTGATCACAAAGAGTAGCAGTAAAAGTCTGTACTACACACAGTTTACACGCACTTTTCAATTTTCTAGAACTTCTGGGTTTTACATCGTACTTTCTCTAAAAGTAAGTAATTTATTTTGCTTTAAAAATTACAATCTGAAAGTCTTCATACGTCCCTCTCTACACTATGGACTTTTCAGTAAATTGTTTTAGCCTAATAACTCTCGAAGCAAAACAGGAAATTGTCATTTAATATTCCTGTGATGTTGTGCCACTCGAAATAGTTCTTAAGGAGTAAATACTATTAATATTTTTTTTAACATTAAGCGATTAGTGCTAAAAGTAAAACAAAAACCGTGAAGCTGGCTATATAATTATCGCTTTATTTCGCACGTCTACCATTTTGCAATGTTGGCGTCGACGTATTTAATACGAATCTAAATATGCTTCATATCCGCACTGCTTGAGTAATAAGGGATTTACAACTGCATGACGCAGACGAGAAACGATTGAGATATTCTGCTATTAAGATCTCAATGAATCTATTTCTCTCTCCATTAATATATATATATATATCGTCTTTAATGAAACATGTAAATATATGTGTGTGTGTCATTTTTAATGAAACGTATATATATATATATATGTGTGTGTGTGTGTGTGTGTGTCATTAAAGACGACAGATGAGGTACTGCGATTAAGATTTTATGTAATTTTTCTTGTGTTTGAATAAATGTTTCTGGACACAGAGTGCGTAGAAACTGCCCAAATATTCTGTAATTCCGAGCGTTTTCGGCTATACTTTTAGTCATTATCAAGGATGATTTTATTTGTACTTTTTAACTGGATGTATGAGCTATGTGTATGTATCTAGAGTTAGGGATGTTTTATTTTCCGGAGACAGCACATTATGTCTGTGTTCGTAGTTAATATTATTGAGTGTTGGCTTTTTTCCTTTTTATTATTAAGGCTTTTTTTACATGTGGATTATATATGCTCGTATTTTCTACTAATATGTTTCGGATGGAGTCTGGTAAGTTTGTGTATCGGTTTAAAGTATGCTATATTTATGGGTAAACATGCTCAGTATCATGGCTAGAGCGTATGTAAATATAAATGTGGATACTGAGGTCGACATCGAGCGGCAACAATCTGTTTCCTGCTTGAACGCTGTCTTCAGGCCACGTGTGCTATGTTTTGGCTCGACTATTTATATATGCTGGACTATGGTGCAATATGTGTATATTGTATTACCCTAAAGCTTATTGGGTAGACGGTAACAGTTATAATTCAAGTTATTCTACAGTCCATTGAGTACAAATAATTGTGGATTCAAATGCCGCTATTTGTAACTATTTTATAGTGTTGTTTGTTAACTTTTAGTTCATTATTTATTATTGATTAATTACTTATTACTGCGGGAGGCTCGGTGGAGTAATGGATAGTGGCTCGGACTGAGGAATCGGAGAGAAAGAATTCCAGTCGGATCCATTACATTCACTTATGTGTTAATACCCTTCTTCTCTCCCCCCCCCACTCCAACAGGTTATGGGTATGGGTATGATTAAATAGCAGGACAGACTGGGTTCTATAACCTTGAGTGGCAACCGGTCTGAATTCTAAACCGGCCTGGGCTCCGTCAAGTTTTCTTGCCCAAGAAACACTATTTCTACTGTAGCTGAAGTACACATGATATTGGATTTGTATAAAGTATGTTACTTTATGTGCGTTGTATATATTTGCATTTTTCATGGTGATATTTTGTTCCACAAGGTAGCAGTTTTTTGGGGGTAAAAAGCTGTCTGAGAGAAACTTTCTCTTTAAATTTGGAATACGGAGGAAATGAGGGTGATTCTATTCTGTGGAAGTAGCGTAGTGTATCCTAGCCAGAAATCTATTCATTGGCCGGAACTAAAGAATGAAGATTTTCTGAACATTGTCATGATAGAGTAGCGATAAGCTGGTGACGTTGCGCTTGTTGCTAAAAGGCGATATATAATAATAATAATAATAATAATAATAATAATAACAACAACAACAACAACAAGGATAATAATAATAAAGATAATAATTTTGATCATTTGGGCATTGTGAATATTTTGAGAAAATTGTTGTTTGTCTGAGGTACTTGTGATTTGACAGATAATGTACCTGGTGTATTCAGAAACTATGTGACAAATAATAATAATAATAATAATAATAATAATAAATTTCTTTCTTTCTTTTCTTCTTTTCTTCCTTTCTTTTATCCTTCCTTTCTTCTTTTCTCCAGTTGTTAACTACATTTTTCTCCCGTTTAATTTTTCTTATTATTGACCAAACAGTTTTAATTTTCTTTTTTCCCTTCATTTTTTTCTATTCTTCTTCTTCTTATTATTATTATTATTATTATTATTATTATTATTAATAATAATAATAATAATAATAATAATAATAATATTTCCTTGTATACACATTTTCTTCCGGGTCCCAACCTAAGAGAACTAAGGTCCGAAATGACTTCATGATCAAATTTTACATCGATAAAGCTCTTCGTAATGTGTAGCTGTACCTGTTAGTACAATTTTATTATTATTACTAGCCGAATTATCCGCGCCTTGCTGCGTGTCACACACTTTTTTAAAAAAAGAAAATGATGATTGATTTTAAATCATTTTTATAATTTGTGGAGAAAAATGATGCATCTCAATATTACTCAATGATCGTTCTGAGGTGACCTCCATCTTCTGGCTTTCTCCCTCTCTATTTTGGATAGGAGTCATTCCTTTGTTCAAATTTAAATTTAATTTAAATTTAATTTAAATCAAAGGGAAAAGAAATTCAGTGAGTGGATTGTGCAAAAATAGCTTGGTCTGACCCCCTTTGATATGTATTTGATGCAAAAGTTGATTGAATGAATTGGCGAGCAGATTTCAACATTGATATGACAGTTGAATTGTCGCAACAAATATATATTGTAAGGCACTACACACTGATTGGTGATTTCTTGCTTCACTTGACGTGCAAATTGTTTCATTTTGATCTTGCTGATGTGACCTCCATCTTCTGGCTTTATCCTTCTATATTTTGGATAGGAGTCATTCCCTTGTTCAAATTTAAATTCAATTTATATCAAAGGGAAAAAAATAGTGGGAATTTGTGCCCCCCCCCACTTTGATCAAAATGAAATATACTTATCCAAGTACCCTGGATAATGTAGTTTCAGAATATATATGGTTATGGGGTCTATCTCCAAAAACTTAGGAGTTCAATAACAGACAGCGACAACTTTATATAGAGAGATTATTATTATTATTATTATTATTATTATTAGGTCTTTTAACGTCATTTTTTTGTTATTCGTGATATTTCTGTCTTTTCTTTTCATTTCTTTTCTTTTCACTTTTTCATTTCTTTATTATTATTTTTTTTATTTACTTTTTTGTCCTTGCATGTAGCGTTTTCTTCTATTCCTCCCTTTATTTTTCTCACTTTTTTTTTACTTGGCCTCGTTTTTACTTGTCTTTATTTATAAACTGCGTTCTTTCGCTTTCTAAGAGCTCCTAGTTTATTTGTTATCTCTCTCTCACATCCGTATATTTTCACTTCCCGTTCTCTCCTCGCCCGTACTTCTCCCTCCATCTTCCAAGCGATTCTTCCCATATCTTATGATAGTACCATTTTCTTCCCGCTCAACCGATTAGATCTCCTCGTCACTACCCAACTCAACCACTCCAACTTTCTCCCTGTCACTACACCAACAAAAAAAAAAACTCTTCTTTTTCTACTTACCATCGAATTTGACTCTCACTTAATGATTCGCTGCCGACATATTAAAGCATCTTATTAGTGCCACCGACTTTTAACGTTTATTGCCACTTAACATGCTCAAAAATACCAACATATTTTGTGAGACGGGCGAGCTGTACGCATGTCTTCGAAGATCCTGTCATTAGACAAAGTGTACGTGCGTATCTACATAAATGCATTCGCTGCACATACTTTTTACAGGCTTTCCCTTTCCAGTGGCGTTTCTAACAATCAGAAAGTTCTGGGAGTGGACACTTGGTTGGGGGTCAATATTTGTTATGCTTAACTTTGCCGATTTTGCTTTTAATCATATCACCCCATGCAAGCAAGTAAAGCCACTAAGGCACAAGGGGTTACTAAGTGTGAAAGAACAAGATAAAAAAGAAAAACATTACGGAACAAGAAAAACAGAAAAGTATTCAAGACTGTAGATAGCGACTGACAGTGAATTTAAATTTTTGAAGATCAAAATTGATTCGAAAGCAAGAAGCCTGAAAAGAGTTCCATAAATCAGAAGTGCGAGAAAAAAATATTAGCATAGAACTTAAGGTTACATGTAGCATTTCAACAGGCGATCTATTCTCTAATCATTTTTCCAAGTAGCCATTTTATTTGCATGATAATATGGACCATAATGCTCGCGTACAACGTATCACTCCGTATTTATTAAGTTTTTTTTAAAAATCCCAAACAAGGCTATAAAGCCACTAAGCGCAAAGGAGTTACTAATTGATAGAAAATATGAAAAAATACTATTAACGAGAGAGAAGAATAAAAGAACAAGAATTAAGAAGACGAAGATAACAATTGACATTGGATTTAAATTTCTAAAGATCAAAGTTAACTGGAAAGCAAGAACCCAGAAGAGAATTTCACAAGTAAGAAGTGTGATAGAAGAAACTGTTAGCATAGAACTTACGGTTACATCTAGCCATTTCAACTGTGAATTGATGAGAATTCATCGACAATCTAGTACTGCGCTTAAATTCATAAAGTATAGGTAGCAAAAAGAAATATTCATCCGAACAATTACCATAAAAGTATTTATCAAAAAAGTACAGGGACACTACATCATGGCGGTGGGAATGAGACTGAATCCGAGACGCCATGTCTGGACTAATAATATTGCTGATTCTTATTTGGATTTTATCGATTTATACAAATTTCAGAAACGACTTTTTATAAATATTATCACTTTATTAAATAAAATAAAATACTATTAACGAATAATTTTCCCAAAGAGATACGGTAGAGTAGTATTAGCAATCAGTAGGCTCCACTGATTTAATGCAGTTTCATTCTACGATTAGCTTGGCGGCTATCAACATCTATATATTAGCTCTGAAACAGGAGAGACAAACTTAATGGGAATTAGCTACAACTTGGCTACAAGACCCAAGAGCCATTCAAAGTAAAGGCATACTGAATGAGATGTGTGATATGAATTTAAGAGGATGAAGTCAGAAGGGAAGATTATGGGGATATGGAGGATGAATAACTGAAACGTTGTCACTATTTCTCTCTTTCAGTCTTTCACTAACTGGAAAAATGACCCCACGTTTTGTTTCGATTCTCGTTCGCGTCGGAGTGCACAAAACTAGGAAAGAATCGGCGTGTACAGTCACACGAAATGAAAAATGAAATAACGCTACCGTCAGGAATGAAAAGACGAATCCTGTTTCCAATATATTTGGCTATTTATTAACAGATTGAGTTGGCACGGTCTAAGGGTAGGTAGGCGACACTTGGAACATATTCGCTGCTAGATTCTCTTATGACAGACTGATGGACCAGATCTTACCTTTGGCCCGCAAGAACTACGATTCTCTCTTACTGCCACTCTGCTCATATCTACATCACGATGAGCGGCTCGCAACTCGCCAACGAGTGGCTCGAAACGACTCCTACTTCTAAATGTGACTTATATAAGCCAACAGGCAAAATATTTCAATTTCCGGAAAAGAGACACTTGATCCCAAAAGTTTTCATTTTTTTTTTTAAAATTATTTTCTCTATTTCATTGAAGATCCTATTCTTACACTTTACTGTTGATCATGAAATCTCAAACACTTGAAAATTATTCTGGGTCCACTTCGTGTGTGTTCTCATCAAGGCAGGTTCCATTGTGTCACAACTGTATAACTAAGGAATGTCTATTTTACAGTTTTATCTTCAGCAAAAAATGTGCTATTGCCATCTAGCTTCATTTTCAGCGATACCGACTATGAGAAGACACATTTTTTATGCGGTAGCCTAAAAGAAAACAAAATAGTTTCTATTTCTTCTTAGCATTTTTCACTGAAAATATACTACAAAGAGTAGAAGATATATTTGTGGATAAGAAGCTGTTCAGGGAAACTACTATTTCAAACATAACAAATATAGTGGAGTTGGGGGATTTAATAATAAAAGCGAAATTACGAGTATAGTCTTACACTGAACAGTTACAAACGGTATTTGTTACTGTTAAAGTTAAATCACTATGACAGAAAAGAGGTAGATCTCATTTTATCTGTGAGTAACAATTTTCATTTTCTAAAATGGTTTCACTATGCGTAGTTAAGATACAAACTTTTTTTAATTATATTTTAACAAAAATAATTATCCAATACAGACTGAAAAAAAATCTTGGTGTTCAAAACTTTTTTAACGTAATGGCATAAAAATGCTTGTAAGTCGATGGCAGAAATGTATAGATGTTCGGGGTTCCTATTTTTATTGATTGTTGTAGTATACATACGGACGATAATGGGTATGTACCCATTCACATAAATACAGTAGTAAATACTGTATGTTGGTCTGTAGCTGTGCTGGTCAAACTCTCTGTCACCGGGCAGAGAGGATCCCAAGACGAGGCTATATCGAAAGGCAGGCTCTCACGTCTCGGGAAACAGCTACCCGACCCCGTTTTATACGGGGTCTACGGGGAATTTTTGGCCTAGACTACGGGTTCGGATACCCCACATTAAATTCGGCTTTGTGCCACATCTGACTGCGTGAAGCGGTTGGTAGATATCATACAGTAGGTCATTCATTGTGGAATTCACTTGACTCACTTCTAGCAGTGTTCGTGTTCTAAGTATTATTGTTCATTACCAACTTTCGTGTGATTATTCTATTCAGTAACCTTCCCTAGGTTACAAAAATGATTTAAACATTGTTTAAATACATTAATTCAAGAATAAAAGTTGATTCTAAAATCTGACGTTGTTTTCCAAACAATATACGATAAGGTTCCACGATGAAGCACCAAATACAAAATATTACGTTGAACAATGAAGTACCTGATACAAAATATCACGTTGAACGACGAAGTACATAATACAAAATATAACGTGGCACATTGAAGTACCTGATACAAAATATCATGTTCAATGTTGAAGTAAATGATACAAATATAATTTAGCACGATGACTTACCTTTCGTTTCGCGGCATATCAACACCTCTATGGGTTATTTAATGCTGAAATCTAAATATCCCGCACGCAATTTTATTCTTTCAACTACAGATACCTTGTACATAATTTTATATTCTCAGGGTAAACGTATCCTTTTTTAGATATATAGTTTGTAGATCATAAAATATATTGCTGGTAATTTTACTATAAAAATGTATTTTTTTAGCATTGATTAAATATAAGTTGTTTTAAAAATGTATTGTTGATTTTTGTTTGGGGGTTCACTATTTGGCCACAACTGGGACCCTAACAGGTGCTACCACCCCGGGTCGCGGTGGAGGTGGGAACAACAGCTGTTAAGAGATGGTTCCACGCTCTTCAAACCTCCAGTCTACCGATCAGAGCCCTTGCTGCCGGATGTAGTTTATCGTCATACCTAGGATGCATGAAGTACCCGATGCAAAATATATGAAGTTATGACTATAATATGATATTAGCAAATTATTATTTTAAAAATGCCGTTCGTCAGTTGCATCAGATTACAAATCTTCAGTCATACACTTTGATTTTTAGAACAAAAGCAGGAAATGACAGGGAGGAAAGAAAACATCTTTTATTTGTAACTTGTACATTATCATACAATGGGGTTTGTTAGAAATGCATTTCGGGAAATAAGCTTTTAGTTGTAAGCCATTCGTGGAAGAATGATATCAAGGAATCAAAGTAGCGCTGTTATAGAGCGAATGTACGCCAATCATAGAAGTCCTACTAGGATTTATTATTGACGGCCACAATCTTAACAATATAAGATATGCAGATGACATAGTGTTGATAGCAGACACGAAAAGTAAACTCTAAGTACTCCTACAAGTATGCGAGAAAAAAGGACGAAACATCAATTGTAAGAAGACAGAATGTAATGTTGTTAGTAAAAGGAACAACCCGTTACAAATTACAAAGTGGAGACACCAAGAACAAACAAGTACAACAATTTAACTACCTAGGAAGTGTTTTAACAGAAGACGGAAAATGCGACACCGAAATCCGAAGGCGCATTGAAATCGCGAAATATGTCTTTCAGAAGTGAAGCAAACTATTAAGAAATAAGAAAATCTCGCTGGTCATAACCGACCCTTGGCCCTACTACTTCGCACGTGATTATTACGGTGTTTTGGCTGTTTCGACCAAAATCATGTGAATTCTAAAGGTCCTACTTGCTTACTCAGCTCTATTCCAAGTTTTAATCAAAAAAAATTATTTCGTCCATCTCCATTGTCTGCTAATGACCCAGATTCAATGGGTACAACTTCTGCCCCAGATCAGATTTCACCACCAATAAACAAAATGCTCTGATCTAATTTCGCTGTTCAAATCCACTCCAATTTCACTAATATATATATATATATATATATATATATATATATATATATATATATATATATATATATATATATA